TATATGTATGTATATATATATATATATGTATGTATGTATATAGTGACAAATACGAGTTTGATATTATGTGGTTTAAATGCAACAAAAAATTCTTTTTTTTATAAGGTATACTTTATTCCTGTTGGGACAGATTTGTTGATTCATATACTGCATTCTTTGAGACCTCACAGTTCCATAAAACCTTAATTAAAAATTTCTATTATTCATTTTCATTAATGTTGCATCTAAAGGTCCGTATGATGTGATTTTAAGCCTTTAGGAAAGATGAGCTCGAGGAATTTCAATACCACTTTTTACAGGCGTTCAAGGAGAAGAGCTGAAAATTGTGAATTCTTTGGGTGGGTGGATGAGTTGGAGGATTCTATTATCTAGAGTGATCGGGAGTAGAGAATTTCCTTGGAGGACAACTTAACTCGTGACATATATAGACATCATTTTAAAAATAATTTTATCATATTATTAATTATTATTTTAATTTTTTTTTAATTTTGGTTGTCGTGTTACTTACTGTTTAGCGAGGTGACCAATTTTATTTTGTAATTTTCGAACTGGATACTTGCTTTTAAGAATAAATTGTGGTAGCAGGAGTAGTTCTGTTGTTTATAGTTCAATAACAAAATAGTCATTTGTCTAGAAACAGCTGCAACATAGTTATTTTGAAATTATAAAAAATAAATAGACAGTCAGTTTATTCACAATAGTTTTTGTGCAATTGCTTCTTGTCATAGCTGCTATGTAGCTGTTTTGAAATAAGCTGCAACTATCCCCTTAATTTCAAGATCATCTAAGGCTTCAAATTCAACAAGTTTATAATCTATAATCAAGTTGACGTCTCAATAAGAAGAACCTTATGATTCTAAAATTGAATTTATCTGAGTTGATTCAAGCCCTATCAAGTAATTAAAGCACTTTTAGAGATTTTGGACTATCAATTTAATGGTCAAATGAACTACAAATTCGATATATTTATATTCAAATCGAGCGTCTCAATGAGAGAAATCCAATGAACCTACTTTCAATCAATTTTGACATCATTAAAGCATCCAAATCATAAAAAAAATACTATAATCAAGGATGATCAATATGGATGACACGCCAAAACTTATCGGGATGTAAGTTGGTCGTACAATGCAAGTGCACATATCAAATAGTAATGCGGTTCAGGAGTACTACATATGGATCCCACAGAGAAATTGTAATGCTTTCTTCTCACAGAAACTGTCTTAGTTTACTAATTATGTTAATCAAGCTTGTCAATTATCAAATAAGTTTTTAATGTCCTAAGGCCCTCACAAAATAGAATACTTGACAGTAAAAAGATGTAGAAAATAAAAGGAAAAAATTCATGAGTTCTTTTGAGATAGACGAGGCTCGTGCCTCTGTGATTTGAGGATCATGTCGATCATTGCTTTCCTAAATATTTTCCTATGTTAATGTTGTCAATATAGAAAAAGCTACTCCTTATGCCTATTTCTAGGTCAAAAGAAGCCTAGAATCCATGAAATTGAAGCTTAATCAATCCCTATGACATTCTGCATGACTTTTTCAATCCTCTGGAATGATTGCAGAATTCCACTGAAATATGCCTATTCTCTCAGAATTTTGTGATTAACCTTTCATTTCCACTATACAATGGTTAGAGGTCATAGTTTCATGAAACATTTTAACTTCTTAGTTGGCCAGATTAGGAGTAAATGAAGATAAGAGATTAACCAACAACATAGGCCATGAAAAGCTCAACAAAATGATTAATAGAAAAACATTTGAGAAGACCAATGATAAATCTGCTACTTCCTGCATCATAGAGACACGAAGAAAAGCTTAGTTGCTCATATGAAGAAAAACATAGCAAAAAACACCACATGAATTTCCATTACGAACTTATAAGAATTTGTTTCCCCAGCAAAGGCAGTTGCTTTCTCTCTCATACAAGATCTCTCATAACACGCCAAGTAAATAAACTCTTCCTTGAAGGTTTGAACCCACAGAGGAAGACAACCCTCAAGAGATTCCACAAATCTTCTCCCAAACTCTCTTCTTGCAGCTTTCGTGCCTTCTCTGGTGTAGAACTCCTTTGTCCAAGCCTCGAAGAGGTCAGAAATAACTTTTCTCATGGCAAAAAAATAATTTTATAGTTAGGTCTACATTAGAGATCCAAAATAGGCATCCAAGCTCTCCAAATCTTTCGATAGGTCCAAAATTGACAAGAAATATAACAAACTACAAGTTTAGACTTCTGGTGGCATGGTCATGCAAACCCCCACGTGATCAAACAAAAAACTAGCATGGTCACGCCAGACAACACTATATGGTGCATTTTATCCTTGCTTTGTATGTTCAACACCTATAACCTGCGCAACATCAAGAATTTTTTTTCAACTATAAATCTATGATAAATAAGTGAAATTAATATAAAAAACATTGATAAAAATGTATGTAAAATCACGTAAAATTAACGTATCTCAATACCCCCAAACTTACTATATTACTTGCCCTCTAGTAATCACATGGCTCATCTTGAATTATTATGAAATGTATAGTACTCCTGTACGTTTCTAACTATTCAACCTATTAATCAAGACTAAATAAATGTGTTTAAATTTCATTAGGATTGATTATCTTTAATGGTTAATACCTTGATCTTTCTTTAATTTCCTTCATTCCATCTTTAAGAAGATTTCATAGATCCTTAAATTGGTGTGATTTAAAGTCTATCGCTAACCTCAAATCTCTTCAATTTAATTTCAATAGATTTTAGCCAACTCAATGTTCACTTAACTCTTACCCTTGAGAAAAACTTTTGATGTAGTTTTAATTAAAGAATCAAGGCAGAGTTTATCACCGATGTCTGCTCTTCTAATTTCTTTTATTTTCTTGAATTTTTGTTGTGCCAACCTCAAGTTTATTCTTGAGGATTTTTCACTTTTCTTCTTCTTCATTTTCTTCTTCTTTTTTAATTTTTGTTGTGTGTCAATGCTAGAAGTTTTATTCAAGTAGATTGTCGTATTTGGGTATGCATACATGTGTAGTATTAAAATTTGTGTATTTTTTAACTAAAATTAATCCAAAGCCAATATGACATAATTTTGATTTTGTGTAAAGTTCCATAGGAACAATTATTGTAAATTTTTGAGTTTGAGAAGTTTTGAGTTTTAGTTGAGCCTCCCTTTCTCAAACTCAATTCGTTCAAGGGTATTTCCCTTTGTTAACATTGTCGGTCAAAGATGGCCATTTCTCATTGATTTCATTGACGTCGTTGCCCACTTCCTCATCAAAAGAGAAACTTCAGTGGTATAATTTTTTATATTTCATTTTTTTCTTTTAAAAATGAGAGGAAAGATAAATCATTGTATCATTAAACTCGGGCCAATGGGTCTATTTATCTTCTATGCATGTGCATCTTTCTTTCTGTTCGTATATAATTGGGGACAAATGTGCGAATTTCAAAATATATTGCAACATATGTTTAGCTTTATATGACAAATAACTTATATCCTATAATAATTCTCAACTCATTATTTCTCCTAAAAAATGTTTATTATCTTTATATCACATTTTATGTTGATTATTTATCTTTTATTATTGACCAAGACAAGAATTTATAGCTTTAGTCACATTTTTTACTTTTCATTGCATAGTAGTCTTGGCAGCATTGTCACTTTAACCAATTCGGCGGCACCTTCCGCGGTCCATCAATTGCTAAAATCCATCTGCCGCTCTGCAACTTGTACAGTCCTTTTGCTCCTTTCTTTCCACAGAAAATATCATAATCCACATCACCCCCATGGCCCCCGTCTCCACACGACATGACAATGAAAGCTTCTGAATTTCCATTTTTATGTTCACTTGGAGGTGTTCTTCTCCATAGATTGGAGGCAAAGTTGGCTTAAAATATCCAGAAAAGAATACGAAGAGCAAGAAGAAGATGAAGGGTGAAGGAGAGACTCATGATATTGTCATCATCGGTGGCGGCATCTGTGGGCTCGCCACTGCCCTAGCACTTCACCGGTGTGCTTCAGTTCCCATACTTCTGGACCTGAAGTCTTCTTCCCCATTCTGTTTTCTGATGCCTATAGATTTGCAGGAAGGGCTTTAAAAGCCTGGTTTTGGAGAGGTCTGATGAACTAAGAACAACTGGGGGTGCCATCTCTATATTTATGAATGGTTGGTATGCGCTTGACCAACTTGGTGTGGGAGAGGAGCTCCGTTCAAAGGCTATCCTTATAAAAGAGTATTTTGCAGCTCATTCGTTTACTCTCAGTCTAAGATTTTCTCATGTTAACTGTGTTTTTATTTGTTTTTTTTCTAAATGCAGACATTAATTTTATCAAAGTAATTCTTGATGTTTCTCATGCTCAGCATCATAACTGTTGGTTGTCTCGGCTAATTTTGAATAAATAAATTAAGCTTTAATGAAATTATTTAGCTAATTTTCAGATTGAATTATTATTTGAAGTTTTGTAAAAATTATATATTTTTTGTGTTTTATGATGTTCAAATGCATTGTAATATGACAATTATAATTTTCATGATTAATATTGAAATCTTCTTCTCTTACTCAGATAGTTGGTGCTCATCCATTGAATTTGTTGGCTCTCAAAACAAATAAGCCTAACACGACTAACTATTGTTTCATCTTTAACAAAGTTACTTTTGTCTATTATACAGGATAAGGGATGCTTGGCTGTTCAAAGAGGAAGCAAAGGTAACACCATGCAGGTAAATATGCATTTTTTTTCCTTTTAGAATACTCTGCTTTATTTATTCAGTTACTAGTCATGCATTAAAGTCCACTTCTTTTCATTCATGTTTATATCCTTACTAATACACTAATATGCAATTAATTTTTTTTTTTTAAGTTCCAGATTTGTTTCCATACATTATCCCTCTTAAAATCTGGTTTAATTCATTTCAGAAGGTGCCAAACATATAAGAGAGTCATTTTCCTTTACCTGCTTCTCTTACTAATGTTTTCTTTTCTCACCTGTTTGTTTCAGTAAAGAAGGACTGCATTGTTTAAAAAGGAGTGATCTTGTTGAAACATTGGCTGCTACTCTCCCAGCTGAGTCAATTCGCTTTAGTTGCAGAGTGGTAGCAATGGAGGTTGATCCAATTACATCTTTTCCCATTATTCATGCTAGTGATGGGCTCATCATCAAAGCTAAGGTGGTTAATCAATACAAATGACTAAGCTGATTCTTATACATTCACATTAGCATGTGTCCTGCTCGATCTAAAGTTATTTGTGGCAATATTTGAACCCTACTTCTCAAATTTATGAGATTGGAACATTAGTTTATGAGAAAAAAGAAGGATGGGTGGAGAAAGAGAGTGAGTGAGAGAGAAACTTCAAAGGGTCATAATCTTCATGTAGAAGCTCAAAATATTGTATGTCATTTCCTAAAAAGATAGCCCTTTGATCCCATTTTTATAGTAGTTTTAGTGCTAAAAGGCAAGCGACTTTTTAATTCAATAAAATAAATTAATGTATGCTATGTTTGCCATAGACAAATAAATATAGTGACTAGAAACCTGGTTAAGTCACATGGACCACTTCTTTGGCAAATAGTATGTAGGTTTCGTTGACAGGATAAGTGTTATCGTCGTCTGCGAATAGGTAGATTTCTTGTGTGCCCCGGACAAGTGCCTTCTGAGTTAGGAAGATGCCCTTTGAGCTTGGATGAGTGCCCTCCAAACTTGGGTGTGTGACTGAGAGTCATATGCCTTGATTCCTGACAACTTCACCAAGTCTTTTTTAATTTAGCTAAAACTAGATATTTGAATATTACATGTGCTGCATAAGACTAAATTATCCATGTAATATTGCTATTACTCTCTATATAAATTCAAAATTAAATTTGTGCCACTGAAGCTGCTCATGTTTGTAAATGATGTGACACCTTAAATCAGTTAAAATTAGTACTCAGCTCCTCATTGAATCAGTGCAAGGCTTGTGAATGAGTTTGTAGACAGCCTTCTCTCCAATTAGGAGATCGAAGTTCTAAGCACACTCTAATCATTAATTTCTAACATAGTTGTCATTAACTTTCCCAAATAAAATTAGTCTCATTATTTATTTTTCTTGTTGACATAAAAAAATACATTTCACATTAAAATGATATTAGGTTGATTTCACTCAATAGTAAGATGCTACTTAATGTGATGTAATATGCTACAACTTCAATGTTGTGTTTTATATAAATTCATCCCTCAAAGATTTGTGATCCCGGAACTGTCAGTCAGTTCATGACAGTTTAGAAACTAATTTATTTGATGGTGATAATTTATAAATAGTTTTCATGATAAAAAATAAGACCTACATGCATGTATAGCTGAAGAAATATTTCCTGACTGAAGTCTCTGTATATATTTGGTTATTTGTGGTATTATGGCAAAAAAGAATGAAGTGACCGGATTTCCATGCAATTATGTGATTTAACAGATTTTAGTTGGCTGTGATGGATCAAATTCAGTTGTGGCAAAAAAATTAGGCCTGAAGTCCCCAAAGATATCACCCATTTGCGAGGCGAGAGGCTTCACAAATTATCCGAATGGCCATAGTTTTGGTGATCAATTTCTGCATCTATGGGGCAACAATTTCTTGCTTGGAAGGGTTCCTGTTAATGACAAGCTAGTTTTCTGGTTTGTGGATCATAAATTCAATCAAAGAGGTAATTTGCACCAAGCCTCCAAAACATTTTATGTAGAACTATTGCTTAATTAATGAGATTCTAATCGAGATGATTTTTGTTTGTGTTGGATGAGACCAACTTGGCTCAAATTCTGTAAACAAGTAGCTATTCAATAACATCCAGTTTTTTTTCTTAATTCTTAAGTTTACTTTATCACTTTTCTCCAATGATAAATTTTTTTTTTCTTCTTAAGTTCCTAACTTTCCTTTGTCACTTTCCTCCAATGATTATGACTCGTTTGAGGTAACTTTCTCATCATTTAGCTTTTCAAACTATCGCCATTTTTTTTTGCAACCTTTTTGGCTTGCATTTAGGATTAAATTCCCTCAAATATAGAAGATAAAAAATAAAAAAAATTGTTGCCATTTTTTTCTATAAGTAAAATATTTATAGCATTCACATCAACTTTCAAAAAAATGTTCTTTCTTAATACAATTTTACAAATGCAGATAGGATGGTCTATGTATGATTAAGAACCTTTCTTTTTCTATAACCAAATGCTGCTTTCGTTCTGAGAACAATACCAATCTCTCCTAAATTTCACCAAACAATATATAGCATCCTCCAAAAAACTCCATTCTCTAAACTAAACCTTATAAAACCTTACAATCTCTAAACCTACTACTTGAATTCTGTCACTCTGCAGATATAGAAGCAAGGGAAGATCCCAAACTAATCAGAGAACTAACCTCGGAGCGCCTTCAAGGTTCCCCCAAAGACGTGATCGACATGATCACAAACTGCGAAACAGACACATTAACCCTCACACGCATCAGATACCGTGCGCCATGGCACATTCTATTCGGTAAAATGCAAAAAGGAACAACAACGCTTGCGGGGGACTCATTACATGTGATGGACCCTTCAATTGGCCAAGGAGGCTCTGCAGCCATAGAAGATGCGGTGGTCCTCGCTAGATGCTTGGGAAGAGAGCTCCAACCGCATCAAATAGCCGCATGCGGCTGCCGCGAACTGAAGAGGAAAGCTGAAGCCGCCATTAACAAGTATGTTAGGGAACGAAGGGTAAGGATAATGAGCCTATCAATGCGCGCGTTTCTAATTGGTTCCATGTCTGCAACCTCTTCCTGGGTGAAGAGGATGGTATTTGGTGTTTTGTTAGTTCTGATGTCGGGTAAGAACTCGCATGGCCATGCGCACTTTGACTGTGGTCATCTCTGAACTTTTGTGGAAAAAAGTGATTTTTGGCTGAATGTGGAACCAGTTCTCTTAACATGTGCACAATTTGTTGTGGAAATAATTGCTACGGTGTTTGGTTGCTGCTGAGTAAAGCGAGATGTAGTATTTTTTAAAATTATGGGTTTGCGTTGCTGTTTCATCACATTGTGGTTTAACAGGGTCGAGCGAAATGATTGCAGCTTGCTCGAGTTTTATGGATTTGTGGTTGAAGGTCTCATCCGTACTTGAACCACCCTCAACCCACAATTGAATCTTCATGAACCTCGGCAGTGAATCACTCCTTTGTTATATAAATCTGTAGATACAACAAATAATTTAGAAGCATAATGAATATTATCATTCAAAGAGGAAAATTATTGTGATATCTTTTAAATTGTAAAACATTTGCTTGTTTTGCAAAAAAAATTAAATTGCAAGCATGATTCAATAAAAAAAAAAAATTCTATTTAATTTTATGTTAAATGTTAGTTATGCAAATCCCTATGCCCGATGACTTGGAGCTAGCTATACAATCTACAATCTACAATCTGGCATGAAGAGGTGCCTGCCATGCAATCCAACCAATATTGTTGAAGTAGTCGTGCTAGCACCTTAGAAAAGTGGAGCCACCACCATCTTAAGATAAGCCCACACAACAGATGAATGTTAGTGTGCGGAGCTTGATTGGGATCGAAGCCCTCCAACAAAAATCAACACGCCATATGTACCTCAACGGCCGTGCCAAAGAACTAGGTGAATATGAGCTAAGCCCTGGGATTCGTGCACTGTACATGGGTACAATTTTGTCGTGGGATGGTCGTTTCTAAATGAGACACCGGAAGCTTGACGCTCGAGATGGGCGATCTAAAGCCTAAAATAACGACTTCAAACAGAGCGAGTGCGCAACAAGAATTTAGGATATAATCGACGGTCACATACCTTCGGTAATAATGAGTAAAACCGTAGGGAACATATTTACCGATGGTTTAGATCCAGTTCATTCAACGTACTAAAACCCCTTGTCGATAATAAAATTAATTGATAATTTATCTACAGTTTTATATTAATCAATGTTTATCTGACATATCTAATCGTCACTAGTGATCAAAATTTTTTATCGTAGCTTGACCATCAGTTTCATAACCGACTTTAATATTCATAAGCATAGTGTTGCACCTACGTTAGAAAAGTGTAGCACAACGGCCATTTAATTGTGGAAAAGTTGTTGACGGTCAAGGTTCGTAGCAAAAGTACAACACTCTCTTATAACATGTCTTGTTCGATATAACGTTGAAAAACCGTCAGTACCGAATCAACTAGCCTTATAAGCATCAGTAAGTCGTCAAAAATTTGTAGCATGACTCCTTCAACACTATAATTTACACACCTGCAATCATAACAGTACAATCAACACACATCACATCATAGTATTGAAACTAATTAACACAAACCATATACAAAAATAAAAGAAACACAATTTCATTAAACCAACTGAAATGAACAATTGTTTAATAAAAATAATGTTTGCGGCCAATAAATCATTTAACTTAAAAACAAACATAAACAAAAAAAACTCTCTATTCATCTTCTCTATCTTCTCATTCTCATCCACATCCTGAACTGGCTGCTTCCCTTTCTGTAGTTCAGAATGCAGCACCGCTTCGCTCTCTGCTTTCATCTTCTGCTCCATCTCCAATCTCATGGTGCTTAGGTGGGTGGAGACCTGGGCAGCAACCTGGTGTCACATCTCCTTGTTGACCTCACTTTTTGTTGAGGTCTAGTATTTCTTCCTTAGGAGTCTAGTGTCTAGCCATAGGACTTTTCTGTTGACTATTCCTAGAGGAGTAGTGATGGTACCCTCACCAACGTTTATCCGACATACCTAATCGTCACTAGTGATCAAAATTTTTTATCGTAGCTTTACCATCAGTTTCATAACCAACTTTAATATTCATAAGAATAATGTTGCACCTACGTTAGAAAAGTGTAGCACGACCGTCATTTAACTTTGGAAAAGTTTTTTATGGTCAAGGTTCGTAGCAAAAGTACAACACTCTCTTATAACATGTCTTGTTCGATATAACGTTGAAAAACCGTCAGTACCGAATCAACTAGCCTTATAAGCATCAGTAAGTCGTCAAAAATTTGTAGCATGACTCCTTCAACACTATAATTTACACACCTGCAATCATAACAGTACAATCAACACACATCACATCATAGTATTGAAACTAATTAACACAAACCATATACAAAAATAAAAGAAACACAATTTCATTAAACCAACTGAAATGAACAATTGTTTAATAAAAATAATGTTTGCGGCCAATAAATCATTTAACTTAAAAACAAACATAAACAAAAAAAACTCTCTATTCATCTTCTCTATCCTCTCATCCTCATCCACATCCTGAACTGCCTGCTTCCCTTTATGTAGTTCAGAATGCAGCACCGCTTCGCTCTCTTCTTTCATCTTCTGCTCCATCTCCAATCTCATGGTGCTTAGGCGAGTGGAGACCTCGGCAGCAACCTGGCATCACATCTCCTTGTTGACCTCACTTTTTGTTGAGGTCTAGTCTTTCTTTCTTAGGAGCCTAGTGTCTAGCCATAAAACTTTCCTGTTAACTACTCCTAGAGGAGCTTAAGATAAGCCCACACAACAGATGAATGTTAGTGCACGGAGCTTGATTGGGTTCGAAGCCATCCAACAAAAACCAACACCCCATAAGGGTGCCTCAACGCCCGTGCCAAAGAACTAGGTGACTATGAACTGAGCACTGGGATTCGTGCACTGTAAATGGGTACAATTGCGTCGTGGGATGGTCGTTTCTAAATGAGACACCAGCAGCTTGATGCTCGAGATGGGCGATCCAAAGCCCAAAATGACGACTTCAAACAGAGCGAGTGCGCAACAAGAATTTAGGCTATAATCACATACCTTCGGTAATAATGGTAAAACCGTAGGGAACATATTTACCGACGGTTTAGATCCAGTTCATTTGACGTACTAAAACCCCTTGTCGATAATGAAATTAATTGATGATTTATCTACAGTTTCATATTAAGTGATGGTACCCTCACCAACGTTTATCTGACATACCTAATCGTCACTAGTGATCAAAATTTTTTATCGTAGCTTGACCATCAGTTTCATAACCGACTTTAATATTCATAGGAATAGTGTTGCACATACATCGTAAAAGTGTTGCACCTACGTTAGAAAAGTGTAGCACAACCGTCATTTAACTATGGAAAAGTTTTTGACGGTCAAGGTCCGTAGCAAAAGTACAACACTCTCTTATAACATGTCTTCTTCGAGATAACGTTGAAAAACCGTCAGCACCAAATCAACTAGCCGTATAAGCATCGGTAAGCCGTCGAAAATTTGTAGCATGAAAAAAAAATAAAGCCCTCCTTCAACACTATAATTTACTCACCTGCAATCATAACAGTACCATCAACAAACATCACATTATAATATCGAAACTAATTAACACACAAACCATATACAGTTCCCATTTTGGGGTTAGCACCTAAATACTAATTTGCATCCTTCCATGCACCTGAAGCTTGATAATTTGAAATCTACCTTCTTATCCCCAATGAGAGTTTTGAATCTTAGGTTTTGATCGAATGTCCACATGCTAATTCCCTAATGGAAATAGCTCTCACTCAATTCTACACTTTGTTCTAAGTTTGTTGACTTAGAAGTCTGTGTTGGTTTTCGTGATCTCTTCGGTCAACACCAATACGAGCGGTGTGCTTGCTCGGCACACAACACCTATGTGGGGTCCATTTATTGACCTCACTTTTTGTTGAGTTCTAGTCTTTCTTTCTTAGGAGCCTAGTGTCTAGCCATAAAACTTTCCTGTTAACTACTCCTAGAGGAGTAGTGATGGTACCCTCACCAATAGAAATTCTAAACTCTTCTTTGCTAATCTTGAAGTTTCACATGTTGGTTCTAACCTCTAGCACTTAGTAGGTGGAGCCGATATGGGGGAGCTCAAGAAGGGTTCCCCATAGGACTGCCCGACCTTTGGGTTGACCCTGGGTGATGTGGCTTGGTCTAGTATACACACATGCACTTCACACTTTCACTCACAACCTTGAACCCTAGCCTACCTTGAACCCTAGCCTACACATGTTCACATGTTTGGTTTGGTTCCCTGACCTCTTTGGAGACCCATGTGGAGGTTTCCCCAACTTAGTCCTTAACTGGGGTGGATATAACCAGTACACGGGGAATCCAAAGTGGGTTTCTCTAGTCACATGGCACAAAGGGGATAATTTTATGATCAGCATTTGCATCAAACCTGAATCTTACCTAATTACCCAATTTTGACCTTTTAGCCCTAAACTTTCCCATAATTACCAAATTGCCCCTAACACCCCAAAAATCCAAGGTTGGTCCAAATCCATCAATTTTGTTGAAAAATCATCTCAAACCATTTCATACCATCCAAATTACTCAAAACATCCCAAAAATTCTATATTTATCAAAATACCCCCCAAATTTGTCAAAATTACCAAAATGCCCTTGGTGACCCAAAAATTCTAAAAACCTCCAAAATCATTTAAAACACTCCTAAAACCAATTTTTTTTACCATCATAAAACCAATTTTTTTCCATCAATTGAGTCTAATTTGACCAAATTGACTCACTTTGACTAAAATCCCAATTTTTCCCTAAGTGCCTAAAGCCCCCAAATCACCCCAATTTGCGCCCGAATGGATCTCAAATTTCTTCAATTTCAGTTCTAAGCTCAAATTCATCATGTCCTAACCCAATTGAAATCAAATTCAAGCCCAATTAAAACCAATTCTAAACTCCAAATCCAAGTCCAAGTGAATTGCCTCAAATTGACCCAAAGTAAAAAAATCCTCAAATTGAGCTTCATGATCAATCAAATGCCCTAATTTCATCAAATTCAACATATCCAAATTCAATTTCAACCAATTCAAAATCCATTTGATTGACCCATGGTCAATTTCCAAAATTAAAATCATCATGTGCACATTTTAAAAGCCATACCAA